TATTGCTGTATAGTTCAATGCTGCTTCAGCAAGCATACATTCCCACTGGTTGTTGTCTTCCAGCAAGCCTAGTGCAAGACATGCATCTTTATACGTTGGATACTGTTGTCCATTCACTTTATGTATATCTTGAAATGACAATGGGCCGGTGACATTAACCAACAATAGTCGAAGATAAAAACACTCATTTTGCCTTGGATTGACTGTAAACACTCGCCCCGAGGTGCTTGATCTGAATAAACTGGGACATGCATCAATCGGTGTGCCTTGCTTGCGGGGCATCCATTTTTTTGTTTGAACCCATATGAAATAGTGTGGTATTTCTGAATAATGTTCGTGCAAAGGCACCAAAAGCATTCGCACTATTGCACAATTAAAAACATTCGTTGAGTGTAGTTTTTGGTATATTTATAGCACGATCAATCGCTGTCTCGTTCGTGAAAAATACGTGCTGACCGTTTTCAAGATGGACAGCTAAATGAATAACTGCTGGATCCCGTTCATGAATTGGGAAACCAAAAGTACGCCAAACAACTTCACTGAAGCTTATGTATCGGCCAATTTGGTAGAGCGTTATTTCATCGTTGTTATTCACTCGAGGAGTATTCACATTGGTATTTTCAACTAGAAATATAGCCATATTACTGCCTATATTCACATACTTGCAAATGTATTTGATGCTCTTCACTGAACTGCAGAACTCAACGTTAGTTTGAGTATAGAATGTTTCGCACAGCAGAGGCGAATATGGCACCACCCAACGATTGTCAGTGTCAATATGATGATGATATTTTTAATAAATGATTATCCGCCATTATAGAAATTTCTTCGACGATATATTGGATATCCGTTGACATTTGTGATCGTATCGTTAGTGACATTTTTAGGGAAACGTTTGTTACATTTTCCATCTGCCATGCAAGGCGATAAACGATTCAGATTACCGCAGGGGCCATGAATCATGCTTGCTGTAACAATATCAAACAGCAATTGATCAGTAGGCGGATGTGGAATTTCCGCAGAAATTATGCTATCGATTTCTTCAGGACGGATTTTGTCGATTAACCAAACCAAAATGTGTGCATGAGGTAATGCTCGCTTTTGCCATTCAAGCGAATATATCCAGCAACGTGTGGTACCAAATACGTGTGATTTTGTAATTAAACTTATTAAAGACTAATTTTTGTCTGAACACACGTGCTGTGATGTTATGACGATGTATTGCATTTTGGCCAGGCAATAGCAAAGATGTAATCTCCGGCCATTTTGGATTACATTGTGAACGTGATAAATAAACACGGTCGTCCATATTCGCGCACGAAAGTCAAAGCATCTTGTATATGACGTGGACTGCCTATGTACGATGATGGTAGAATGACAGAATTACCAATTTCTGCGGCGTCGGCGTTGTTGACAGTAGCGTCTCGCAAGTGAGTGTATTCTTCCGCACGCAGCTTTTGTTGATTACGATAGATGTACAAATAATAATAATGACCGAAAACTGTGTGGGAGTGAGAGAAGGCTTATTGTGTGAGAGTGACAGGAGACCGGCTTCGGTCTCATCCTTACTCCGTGCTGTGTACTGGGTGAGAAGTGACACCTTTAGACGCCTGGCGGGGATAACTGATCAAGTGATAATTGATGAGTTATCGACCAGGGTTAAAAATTATTAAATTACTAATATCGCTATTAAAAAATAGGGGTTGGTGGTAGAAGGGTGAAAATTTAGGGTTGTATGTATTTTTTAATGCCACATCACAAACAAATAAAAATAAAAAGTTTTGTCCAAAAAATTAAAAATAAATTTGGGGGGTGGACCACCCTCATCACTTAGGGGTATGAAAAATAGATTACAACCGATTCTCTAACCTACCGAATATACATATAAAATTTCATAAAAATCGGTCAAGCCGTTTCGGAGGAGTATTGTTACAAACACTGTGACACGAGAATTTTATATATTAGACTAGAAAGCCGGGCGATCATACGAAATGACTGCTGTTGTAGATATTATAAATTGTAATTAAAATGATTTGTGCAAAGGTGTCTGCTAATTTAAACTGAATTACCCAGAGCAGGCGGCGAGGACGCCCCTTTGCTTACTGTCCCACGGGGTTTCCTCCTTCTACTTGCTTAATTGCTTAAAGTAGAGTACAATGAAGGAAACCACTGGCGGTACATTTCTTACGAGCACTCCTCAATCAATAAAGGTGATTTAAATAATGAAATGTTAATTCACATGTCAAAGATCTCTTTGTACACAACATTTCTTGTGTAGATCTTTCCATCATTTTTAAGCTCGCCTTGGAGAGGACCATCCAATATTTTTAATTTTACGTCCGTTCTTTCACGAACTCTTGAACAGGCGCACATAAACTTGATCGTGTCCAAATGCAGGCTCAGGTAAAAAAAAATGCCAACACGCTTAAGCGTTTGGCCTGAGACTTATGGGTGGTCATAACAAAGGCAAATTTTACAGGAAATTGTCTACGTCTCAATTGAAACGGTAACCCTGGGCCGTGGCAACTTTACCCCATTGGCTAGTACAGTTACGTAAGCAAGCAATAAACTATTGGCGACAAACAGACACTTAAGCCGCATATATATATGGGTTGAAGTAACATCATCTCCTTCGAAACGGCTGTCTCCCGGGCTTAGCGAAGCCCACCGTTGTATTCCGAAGGTCCGTGGCATACCACATTGACACTTATTTTGACTTTAATTAGCCAAGATATTAATTAAAAACTAATTTTCCCCTACGTTTTCCCTACATTTTTCACTTTCTTTCTTGGGTTTTCCCTATTAGAAGGATTTGGCTACGTGCCAAATTGACTACGAGCGATGACTTTTCCCTCCTCTCGTATGCAAAGAAAAAAAGGAAACGAAAATATGGTGCTCTAAAGTAAGAAGTTCGCCAAATGAATTATTCTTGGCTCAAACTGAAAAACTGCGCCAAGGTAAATTTTTAAATATCTCCATAAATTTTTCATCAAAAATTACAAAATTTAATATCTAGGCATAATTTGAGTCGTAGAGTGGAAATATGGAAAAACATTGGCATGTTATTCGAGAAAAATCCGATCTTTGTGTCAAAATACCTATATTAGAACAATGCTATATATAAATCTAATATATATCCTAAGTCGCGTATTCGAGACATGGAAAACGCAGTTTGAATTTCGTCATTCGGCCCGAAACTGTTAGAAAAAAAAGCTTATGGTTCAGCTGCTAGATAGAAATTTAAGAGTCAAATTATCAATACAGTGTGTGAATATAGCGAATACTTGATTGAATGCGTCGAAAAAATATATTCATCCTCTAAACAAGCTGTAGCAATAGATCAAGTAAAGGTCACCATATGTTAGAAGACTCGGAATTTGTGTTTTGGGTTAGAGAGTGTACGCCATATGTCAATGCGTTATACAACCAACTTCAGAAAACATTTAATTTATCCAACACTCATTAAAAAGCAAGTAAATGTTTTTTCAACAATCATTACAGAAGTAAAGGACGAGAATGAACACAGTGCCTGAGGAGATATTGGAATCACAAAAACTTCAAGAAAAAGGAAGAGAGACAATATTTACATGAACAGACATAGAGCATCTAAAGATTTATGTGATGTTATCACAAGTAAAAGAGGATTTTTTGTTCTATTTTTCACCTCTATTTCTCTCCTAGAGGCTACAAAATCTCTGGAGTGCGAGAAAAAGTTTCCATTTCAGATTGTTGGCCAAACAACTGAATTTTATTCCATGTTACAAAAGGATGGTCTGAAAACTGAACCAAGTGTAATTTACAGAAGAATTGAACTGAAAACTGAACCAAGAGTAATTTACAGAAGATCAGATTTCATAAAAATGAGTGTTCTCATTAGTCTTCTCCAATTTATTATAGAAAACAACTTACAGACTACGTTTTCGGAGAAACACAAACTTTTGCTAATTATTTTTACTATTCCAAATACTACTGTTGAGGCTGATAGATGCTTCTCAATTCTAAAATGAATTAAAGTATTTTTAAGAAGCAATATGAGCAAGGACAGACTAAGTGCTTTAGCCCTGATCTCAACTGAAAAAAGCATGAAAAATGACACATCTAAACGAAAAGTTTACTGATTTGTTTGCCTCAAAAGAAAGGAAAAGGAAAAGATTTGATTTAATTTACAGAAATCGTACTTGATTATTTAGTAATCAACATTCAAAGTTATATTGCAAGTAATATTATGGCTTTACTACATTCCAATGTAAGAAATAAAATGTTGTAAAATTTTACTTACGAGAACTTGTTTCCGTTTAGTAGCATTGTTTTCTTTTAACTTGTGGAAATGCAAATATATTTTAGCTTGTAAATTTCGTCGTATCTGCATATTTAATTTTCGAAATTTGTTTTGTGAACTTCCGTTTAAATAACCCAAAAGCCGTCACAGCATTTGTTATCTAATAAAATTTACTCCAATCAATTTATTTTTAATTCCAACAATACTTATTATCGTTATTTAGGCATAAAATTGACATTAATTCATCCTTATGAAGAACACAAAATACGCAAAGTTTTTAATGTTTGTTGAATGAACATTAAAAGTATGTATGGCATAATTTACACTATTTATGTTATCACAATTTCATAAACATGAAAAGTCGTTAAATGTCTTAAATATGTATAAATTCAGTTTAGGAGGTCTGGAACCTGTTTCGAAGAAAAGTTAAATTTCTTTGCATAAAATATTAAACGTAATGAATAAACGCTTTATTTTTACAAAATAATGCAGGTAACAAGTAACAAATACTTTTAAAAATTTAGTTAAAATAATAAATACACTTTTATTTGTGTTTTTGTTTTAGTCAATTTTTATTGAAGCAAACTTTTAAACTGAAGTATAAATGCTAAATGAACTAATCGTTCGGAAACGTCGAAACTTTAGGTGAGGGGTCATGATTGCGCGAACTGTGTGAACAATTCTGCCCGAAATAGAGCGAAACCGAACATAGCGTCCTCTACAGCCTTTTGGCAGTAGTCGGGTTTATGGTAATGGAGGGTGAATGTGTTTATTGTTGATGTGCTTCTTGAGGAATGAACAATGATGATGGAGGACGAGTTAAAGTGTCCTTTATGCAAACATTTCTTCAGTAATCCGGTGTTATTACCATGTTATCATTCTCTGTGTTTAAATTGTGCTCTTCACGTGCAGCAGCCCGCTCAGCAAGTCAATCAAACGACTCAAGAGGATGCGAATCATCTGAGCGATATCCCTGCCGACTGCCCCGACGTTGACAAGCTGAGCTTGGTCAGCGAGACCGATAGTGGTGTTGTTTGTAATAGCAGACCTAATAGCTATGTTGGGACACCTAACCAAGGAATACTTTACCCACCTTTACATAGTAGTGCTCTTTCTTTAAATTGTCCTGTGTGTAAAAAAACTGTGTATTTTGATGATAATGGCGTTCACAATCTGCCCAAAAACCGCGCTCTCCAAAACATTGTGGATAAATACGGTGAGAGCAGGAATTTAGCAGTTCAGTGCCAGCTTTGCGAAGGTGAACCACAAGAAGCAGCTGTTATGTGCCTGCAATGTGAAGTGTTTTATTGTAATTTGTGTCGTGATAATTGCCACCCATCGCGGGGACCACTAGCCAAACACACTTTAGTCAATCCTCACGAAGGCAAAGCAGCCCTTCGAGCCAAAAATAAGAATAAAGAACCAAAGTGCATCGAACACAGCGAAGAATCTCTTAGTATGTACTGTATGTTATGTAAACTTCCTGTCTGTGTTCTGTGTTTACAAGAAGGGAGACATTTGAGCCATGATGTTCAAGCATTAGGATCAATGTGTAAAGCTCAGAAGGTATTCAAATTTCATCTTAAATATAATGAATTTACCTTGAAAACATCTTTAAAAACAAAAATTGAAATTCACTTTCATTAGCCAAGTAAGCAAAATTTCTAAATCATAGTGGCTAATGTATAACATTCTGTACGTATTATATTCCTTCATGTAATTAATGTAATCTGTTTAAATATTTTATATATTTATTTAGTATTTCAAGTGAAAGGAATGTGGCACTTGTGATGGGTATTTCGTGATATAATTAATTGTTTGCACATTAGTTTGCCTGAATAATCTGGAGCTTCCCTTCCCCTCCAAAAAAAGACTACTGTCAAATCATTCCCAGAAATACTTAAAGCTTTCTTTTTTTAAATCAACATGAATTTAAGATTATATGCTGTGTAATTATACTACACTGATCCTTAAAATAACCTGAAGAATATGGTGATCAATGTATCATATATATATATTATATATATATATATTTTTAATCCAAAGCAATATTTTTCAAATATTTCTTATTTTTCATCTCAAGAATTCTCCCTTTTTTAGTCTTCTGATTATATATTGTGGTAAAAGGTAGACAATCCAACTGAAATGCTCAAGAAATGAAAATATTTTAGAATTTTTTTTTTTTTTTTTTTAAAGTGGATTATAAGGTAAAATTAAGCAAATAAGAAATCTAAAACTGTTATAAAGCACGACTAGGACTACAGGTTGAATCAAACAAAAACTGGTGACGAACAGCAATATTTAATGCTGGTAATGAATACGTAGGGTGAACAGGTAGGCTTTTTCTAAACCGATGAGTTCTTGATAAGTTGGTTTGATTTTTGTAAAAATCTTGGCTAATCTTTGGAATATGGTAACAGGTAGTATGGCGACATTTTGGTAAGGTGATAAAGGTTACTAGCTAGGACTTGAGCAGTGTACATGGATAAAGTCAAGAGTGTGCGCAATTCCATTTTTGTGCAATTCTGGGATGTTTTTTTAAGTGAAAATAGGTTGACGTGTACATGGATACCGTGTATGTGCAATTCTTAAAAACGCGGCAGGCAGTTTGCGATTCTGCACTTTCTCCCAATTTCGGACCTATCTAATTGAATATTAATATGATTTACATCAAATTCATATTATTACAGGTCCAATAGCTGAGTCGTGCATTATAAAGTGAATTTAAGTCAGCTTGTATTCTTTTGAAATTGTGGTATCGTGTGGTAGGAAAATCTCCAACGAAATTCAAGGTTTTTGTATGTCAACATTGATAGCTATGCAGTATCTTGCAGAACTATTTGGCAGTAAATTCATATGAGCATTGTTCCATGGTTTGTAAGATCATGAGCAAGCTTTTAACAATTACCATTAATAAGCAAAGAAGTCTGAATTTATAAGTAACTTTGTCTTGTAGAATCATTAGGATTTTTGAAGCAGGAAACATGAAAAATTAACAGTGCCCTTACTGGGACTCGAACCCTCACTTCTCGAGTACGTGCTGAGTGTGCAATCGCTACATCACGAAGGCATGCAGAGAGGAGTGAGAAAATACCTTGTAGTCTTAATGTTTATTAAAAGAAAAAAAGGTACTTAAGTATTATCCTGTCGATGATGTAAATTGGCTACCATTGAATCGTGAAACTAGGCAAAGATCCTACCAAATTTGGGTGAGTCATTCCTGAGAATTCTCTCTTTCACACATTCTTATCTAACTCTTAAAATAAAACATTCATCATGCTCTCTGCACAATCCACCAAATAGCCACTGCTGTGGGAGTATGCCTTCCACTTCATTTTTGCATTTTGTAAAGACTTTCCTCGATTTCTATTGTTATATTAAGCCATCATGTTTTACTGGAAGCTCTGTATAGAACTCTATGAGTACAGACTTCCAGCAGATTATTGTTTTGTCAGTCGCATCTAGGTGTTCTTTTCCAAATTCTGCAGATGTTAATTATTCTCACCAATTGTAAATGTACATGATAATATGCGTCATATTGAGAATCAATAGAGGTTATGTTAAATGAAAGCATATATATTATGAGCATACTGTTATGTCATGCTTATCTAAAATTGGCATTATTCTAAGAGAACTGAAATTATTCTTATATATGTCATTTTTGTGCTATTAGTTGCTTAAATGTATTATTTCTGGATATAATTTTTATATAGGTTTTGTTAATTTTATTTTTAGTCAAATGTGATCAAGATTATAGATGCAAAATTATTTTATACTTTTTAGTGCATTTAACTAAAATTAAAAAGATTTTTATATATTTTATTTTGTAATCTTTAATCTATAGATTGAGGGAAAAATAATGAAAGAAAACCAATTCCTTCTAATCGGCAAAGTAATGCAACATGTTAGACAGCAAATTTTTTTTTCAGCCTAAGATTCCTATTTTAATAGTGAACTGAAAAATGTTTGGCCTATCAAGTTGTCTTGTATTTTCATAGTGAACTGAATAATGTTTGACCTATCAAGTTGTCTTCATTCCCAGGAAATCAGATCATTGTACACTTGTAAATCTTCTCGAGTTTGATTCCTAGTGAAAGAGTTGATTTCGTGAAGTTTTCTCTATATGCAATATAAGCCAGCTATTCCATAAAATGACTTTCACAAAATCATATCTCCTAATGTCTTTTGTATTTTGCTGTAATGAGTCAACCAACAAATGAAAACCTTGGCATTTTGCTCATTGATATCTTAACTTCATTCACTTAAGTTTTGTTACATTAGTTTCAAGATTTCTGTTTAACCAAAATATGTCAAATAGTTGCAAGATGTAAATGTACACTTCATTTATGTAAGTTACATATTATATTTTCTTACATTTTTCAGACGGAACTTTCTCAGAATTTACAGATTTTATCAGAAAAGGCAAAGGGAACAACAGAATTTATCCAGCGACTAAAATCAATGTCGGATAAAGCTGCTGTAAGTTAGATCCTTTCTTGATTATTTTTTGCTCAAATGAATATATTGTTAAGATAATAATCAGAAGATTTGAAATGTAAAAAATATTGTTTCTGTGCAAAAATATGTTTTTATGCAGTAAATATTTTCCTAGGAATACTTTTAAAGAATATTTACATTTACTGAATCATCAATCGGTCATGTATTTTTATTCATTGTATAGTCATTGTTATAAGAACTGAAGGAAAAAATTAGCATTTGCAAAAATGAAACTGTACAGTGAAGAATTTTTTTTTGAAAGAGAAAAATTGATACTTTTCCATTTTGCCGGCACAAATCTTCCCAAGCAGACTTTATTGGTGATAACACACAAATGTTAGGGCTGATCTTTGGAATATGGTAACAGGTAGTTTGGTGACATTTTGGAGGCGATAAAGGTTACTACCTAGGACTTTGGGAATAATGTGAGAAGTACTCAGTTCCGATTACGCATTATTTTGTGTGAGGGAAATGAGACATCATGAGATATGTCATGTGACATTAATGGACGAATCACTGTTCTTTAATCGGAAAAGGGGATATATTTGTAAAAATATCTGCTGTACTTTATAGCAGTAGTTTCATTCTATGTTCTGTGAATCTGTGTTGTTTAATATTTGGATCCCATGGCCGTATATAAAGTAAATCCGAAATTTTTATTACGTTTATGTGTAATTGAAAAGAATTGCTTAATTGCGGATATATATGAATGTCCAATATGTGGGAATGAAATGAGATTGTGTAAAACGAAGGATATTACAGATAGTTTGAATGGCAGTGCAAGAAACCTAGTGAAAATGGACATTTTGTGATCCGCTATGCACTCAAGATTCTATAGAAGATTAGGTAAGTTAGTATTTTTAATTATTTGAGGATATTATTTTTATGCATTGTTCTAAATGTAAGGAGTAAATAAATTAATATGGTATTATTGGAAAATTGTTATTAGCAATGATTTAGTTTTAAGTAAGTGATTTAGTTTGAAGTAAGTTAGTGTAAGCTAATTTTTATTAATTTAATGTATGTGCTTATTTATATTTTAAGTAGTGTTTTATCATTTAATTAATTTTAATTTAATGATCGTGATTTTGAGAGTTATAGGTTTGTAGTATTTTGGAATACGTTTGAGTAGAAGTAATGTTCATGGAAGAATTTAAATGTTTGACACTAAGTATTTGTAATCATTTTTAATGTTTTGTTATAAATTCGTTGGTGAGTTTATAATAGATAATTTAGAGGTAAAGTTTTTGGATATTTTATTTATTTTGTATGTGCAAATGTCCATCCTTGGAAAGGTATATACTTTTCGCGATCAGGTAATTTCATATATGTCCTTTTTACCGAATTTAAAGATTCACAAAATTTTCATGCATTTTTGTGAAATTTTTCTAATTTATGAGAAAAAAGCAGTGTACATGGATATAGTGAAGATTGTGTGCAATGCAATTTTTGTGCAATTCTGGGATGTTTTTTTAAGTAAAAATAAGTCGACGTGTACATGGTTTAGTGATATTTTAATTAAAGTTATTTTGTGAATTTTATGTTTGTAGGAATTTGGTATACGTTTTAGTTGAAGTAAACATGTATGGAAATAATTTAAATATTTGACACTAAGTATTTGTAACCATTTGTAATGTTTGCAGTATGAATTCGTTGGTGACGTTTATATATAATAGATAATTTAGAGGTAAAAGTTTTTTGGATATTTTATTTATTTTATACGTGGAAATGTTCATCCTTGGAAAGGGTATATACTTTTCCCGATCAGGTAATTTCATATATGTGCTTTTACCGAGTTTAAAGATTCACAGAATTTTTTGCATTTTCGTGCAAATTTTTGTAATTTATGAGAAAATAGCAGTGTAGATGGATAAAGTTAAGAGTGGTGCAATGCCATTTTTTGTGCAATTCTGGGATGCTTTTTTAAGTAAAATAAGTCGACGCGTAAATGGTTTATGTGTATGTGCTATTCTGAAAAACGCGCAAGGAGTTTGCGATTGTGCACTTTTTCCCAATTTTTGCGTTAAATTTTGTCATGATTAAGCAGTTTTGTTACATAAAATTTCTAGCATAAGTGTAATTCAGCTAGTAGATTGTTGTAAAAGTGTTCAGTAAATAAAAAGAAAAGAAACATGTCTTGACTTCGTGAAGACGAAATGGCGGGGGGGGGGGAAATAGAGGGTTGCTGTAGCAGAGTTGGTCGCCAAATTTTTGCCAAAAAATCGCCAAATTACCATGATTCAAAGATCAACCAAAATTGGCAATTGTATCTTAAAGAAGCTGCTACAGAGTAAGAAGTTTTCAATTCAATAATACTGCTGCAGTAGTTTTTGTTTCAGATATTTAGGTTTTCATAACAAACATAAAATACCAATTAATGAGTTTTTCCTTTTTTTTTTGCATGACATATATATACCATAATTACATATAACATGATTAAGTAAACATTATGTAAACATTATTATACATATTGTAGATAATAACTTCAGATTAATTTTGAAATTAAATTGTAATAATTTATTATACAAGGTAACCAAAAAAGGTCTTGCCGTTTCTGATATGGCATAGAAGAGTGAACTCCAACGTAAAAATAGTCACCAAACCTGGTGATGAAGTGGTTAGGATGGGAGTCTGGACATTGACCAAGCGTATAAAAGTGCATTGCATAATACTTCAAACATAATTCACTGAGCGACTGATTGAAATAGACGCGTCAAAGGCACTCGTTTGGAGTTCTTTGCCGTATTATTTTAAAGTGGGCCTGTCAGCAGCAGAATCAAATAGCCAAATTTGCCAGGCCTTTGGGGATGATGCCATTAATGAACAAACCGCTAGGCAATGGTTCCAGAAGTTCAGGTCGTAATATATCTTTTTATTTACTGAACATTTTTCTTAGTCATGCACCATGCTGCGGTCGGCCATAAGCACTGGACGATTAGGCCCTGAGAGCAGCCATACAGAGTGACAGTAGCCAAACATGTGGTGAGCTTGCTACACTCTTCCAGTAATAAATTTAGCCACAATTCCTTCTCTCCATCCATGCAAGATCATGCTGTGCATCTGGTGGACTAGTCACCAAGTGGTGCACTATGAGCTCCTGCCAGTGGACCAAACCACCACGGCAGGCCTGTACTTTCAGCAGTTGAAATGTGTGCTTCAGGTACTGATGCACAAAGTGACAGCATAGGTCAGTCATAAGGGTGTACTCCTTTTCCATGACAATGTGAGGCTGCATGTGGTTCAGGGGGCCAGGGGCACCATCCAGCGACTGTACTGGGTGATATTATCCCATCCACCATACTCCCCAGACCTCACACCAGCAGACTACCACCTTTTCCATTCCCTGGAAAACCATCTGGGGGGGGAATCCTAAAACAACCGGCCAGACCTCGAAAAGGCCCTCACAGACTTCTTTGCGTTCAAGAATCCTGAGTTTTATCGCGATGGTATCGCACAGCTAGCCACTCCTTGGTAAAAGGCACGGGATGCCAATGGTGATTACTTTGAGGATTAGCGGTGATTAATATTTGTTTTATGACTTTTTCTTTCTGACTGTCCAAAACAGTGAGAACTTTTTTGGTTACCTTGTATTAACAGCTTTTATTTTTTATCTTGACTTCCAGATCCAAATCAACACTTTTCTATATCATAACCACTCCTAGAAGTGTATCTTGATCACTTCGGAGACAATATGGGTGATCAAATAAGGTGTGAACACCATCCATTTAGCTTCATCTTAAATAAATCTCGTGCAAAAAAAGCAACTTTATTTTGACGTACATTTTGAATAAAACTGTAAATTTTGAGGGCGATAAAGCACAGATCTCTCTTATTCAAGGCCATAATACCATCAGAGATAGAATAAATCCTAAATTTCCTCAAATCTGTATCCTAAAACTATTTTTGAACCTCTCAAAGATGAAAAATCTATATTAAAAGCTTTTTAACTAGAGCAAAATTGAAAGTTTTTATAAATAAAAAACAAATTGAAGAGTGCAAATTTGAAAATGTACCTATCTCTTCCAAGAAATGCAACAGTACATAATTAAAATTATTGAATCTTGAGGTTCATTTTCTCAGTGTGATTTGGCAAAACATAGGACAAGCAGCTCGGAACTTTTTACATTTTTCCGAAGTGATTGAAATCAAAGCAAGTGTAGATAGAAGAAGAGTAGTTTTAAGAACAGTTAGTAGACGAAGTGGAATACAGTACAAAGTCCATAATCCGGACGTCCATTATCCAGAATGATCTATAATCCGGACCTCAAAGCCAACAAACTTACACATGCGCATAAGGCCAGTAAAGCGTTTACACATGCACGTTGCTGATAGTGAAGAAAGTGACAGAGAGGTCAAAACAAAAAAATTTCGATTGACAAGTTAGTCGCTATTCTCGACACAGCAATTACAGGATTTGAACAGTGGAACTCTGTAACTGAACAAGAAAGTATGTCTGTTTATAGAATTAAAGAGAAAGTGTTATCACATAAATCGAAGCAATTTAAACAACTTACATTGAAAGAAATGTTTAATAAAGTAAACAAATAAATATTAAGCCTTTTTTTTTTGTAAATTTTGATACCCTTTTATTGCTCTTTATTTCATAAATTACGGTTTCATATTTTTAATTGTATAATTTCTGCATGCCATGTTACCAAATTTAAATTGATGATCTATAATCCGGAAAAACCCCTAATCCGGAATTGCGGAAGTCCTGACAAGTCCGGATTACAGACTTTGAACTGTATATGATACAGTATTTATGTACAGTGGCATTAGTTACTTGAAAAATGCAGGTAAAATAAGAAATAGGTTATAAATAGTAGGTAACATTAGTTAGATTTTGAAAATTTTCAGGAGTTGACTTAAGCTCAGTTATTACTAGAAAATTTTGGTCATCTGTGCTGGGTGGTATAAAGAAACAGTGTATCATTTAGGGTTATGATGAAAATGTGTTGGTGACCCAGGTGCCACTGATTGTA